GGTCATGAATAGCTTGAAGATGGGGTTTATAATTATCAAAACCTCAAGAGAGATCTTGGAAGAAACCTGAGAGAAGGGCTGACATTGTCTGAAGTTAGGTACCTACATTAGGAATTTACATCCAGAAAGAGTAAAACAACTTCAGCTGTTATGCAGAGCACTTAATTTTCACAGCATTTCATGACCAAAATGCTTCAGACACATTTGTGTCCCCTACCTGTACAGAGAACATAAATAAGTTACATACACTAAAATATATATTCAAAAAATAAAATATGTATTCAAGGAGACTAACTTGGGTAATAATTCCTCTGGCAATAAACTCATCTGCATGACAGAGGGTCTCTTTTATAAACTTTTTCAGACAAACTTGGCTTTATTTCTGTTGCATTCAGGGACATTCAGGGAAGCTCACTGATGGGTCATGGTACTAGGTACATGGTTTCTATATACCAAACTTTCTGAGCAGTGTGCACAATTCTGCCCAGGGAAAAACAAGCAGCAAAACAAGCAAAAAAAAGACTGCATGAGAAGGATAGCAAAGTGGATTAATAGCAGATGGATCAAGAGCTTGATAAGGAATAAATAATGTCAGGAAAGATCACCTATGACAGGTCTTGAAAGTAAAGATGAATAATTTGCTTGGTGCAATAAAAGTTACCACTGTGAAAACAAGCTAAGCAGATGCATTCTGAAGAGATAAGATGGGACTGTAGCACATGTTCAGAAGGTTACAGAAAAAACATGATGACAGTTTAATGAGATTTAGCTACATGGAAAGACTGCATCATAATGCATCTTAATTTTGTCATGTAAGGAAACCAAGAAAAAATCAGACCCAGGCTGATCAAAGTATTTTTCTTACATGAGTGTGGGGTGACCATGTCACATAAAAAACCCACAAATAATTCTATTGTGACAGGTCAGTAGATGAATTACAGAAAAGAAAACAGTAAGACCTGCCTTTAACCATGAACTGTTAAACATGAACTATTTATCTGTTTATTACCCACAATGACATGGATATAATGGTTGAGACACCTAAACTTTGATGTCTGCCTCATCAGTGTCTACACCTGAGCCCATCCCTGTTACACTCAGAGGAAATCTTATTAATATAATTAATTAATCAACCTTAACTAAGCAGATGGTTAGATTTAGTCAGATGAATCACGCCTGTGGTGGGTTGATTCCAGCCAGCAGTTAAGTACCAACCAGCCACTCACTCCTCCTCAAAGGATGCAGGAGAGAATCAGAAAAGCACAAGTGAGAAAACTTGTCAGTCAAGATAGACAACTTAATAAGTGAATGAAAGAAAAGAAAAAAAGTGATGTAAATGCAGTCATTCACCACCTCTCACAAGCATAGAATCACAGAATAAACAAAGTTGGGAGGGATCTATAAAGATCATCGAGTCCAACTCCTGGTCCTGCTCAGGACACCCCAAGAGTCACACTGTGTGCCTGAGAGCATTGTCCAAATGCTTCTTGAACTCTGTCAGGCTTGGTGCTGTGACTAGTTCCCTGGAGAGCCTGTTCCTGTGCCCAGAAACCCTCTGGGAGAAGAACCTTTTCCTGATATCCAATCTAAACCCCTCCTGACCCAATTTCCTCAAGTCCTGTCGCTGGCCACAAGAGAGAATAGATCAGTGCCTGCCTTTCCACCTCCTCTCATGAGAGTGTTGAGCTTTTCCCTCAGTCTCTTCCAGGCTGAACAAACTAAGTGACCTCTGCTGCTCCTCATTTGGCTTCCCCTCAAGGCCCTTCATCATCCTCGTTACCCTCCTTTGGATGCACTCTAACAACTTAGTGTTCATTAACTCTGATCAATTAAGTCTTCATTGACCAGTGAAGAACACAGAAGCAGCTTGCTGAGAACTACTTACCTGCACAGCAGACCCTTTGTTTTATTAACATGATTTCAATTTGGAAAGGAAAAAGAAGGTTAGGTAGTTATGAGACATCTGCATGGATCTAGCAATTGAATTTGTTTGCAATGATGAGGGATACATAATTAAACGGAACAAAGACTCTTCACAGAATGACTGTTGAGAGGGTATTAATAAGTTTTAAAGGGAAAGGGAAGAGGGCAGTGAATGCTAATCCAACAAGAAAAATAGGGATTTATTTTGTTAATTTAGCTCTAGTCTATCAACAACAGTTTTGAGAAGTTTTTTGAGACAAATTATGTCATGATTACCAAAACATAAAAGCTCAAATTTCTTAACTTCCTATTACAGTATATAGCAAACTTCAAGCCTGCTTCATGATGTTCATTTTAGATTCAAAGATTATTTTTTCAACCATAGGTATCAAAGTAAGAATAAGGATTCTATGTCAGCATTATTAAATTACACTTGGAACTAATATTAAATAGCTGGAACTGATGAAGTCTGATTTCCTTTACTGGTTTTGACTTGTGGCTGGCTGACTTCGCAGTCTGGACGTTTGTACCAACTGGTGTATTTGAAAAGGCTTTTTTTTTTTTCTTTTTTTTTTTTTTTTTTGTTAGAACTTGTAGGGTCTTTTTCCTATGTGATATTTTCATAACATTTTTAGAAACATAATTATCTTTGACATTTCTTTCTCCATATTCTGTACAAGTAGATAAAGGACTCTAAAACTAGGGGATACATACAGAGAAAATACAAGTATTGTCTCAATAGGTAAAGAGCATTGAATTTTGGGCCTCCTGAATTAATATTTATTTATTATTTTCAGCAGGCAATGAAAGAACTACAGAACATTTTCAGAATGACTGCTTGGTTTCAGCAACGACTCTTTCATCACAAGTGCCCAGCAGCACATTGTGATAATCCCATGCCTTTACTTTCCATCTTGCTACACCCCTCAGTCTCCCCTTCCCCAGATCAGTTTTGTTGCTTTCACTATGACACAGTAAGGACAGTGACTTTCATCTTCCTTACAATACAAAGAGAAATCAATTTAATCCAATATTTAGATTACAAGTGAGAACACAAACACATTGCACCAGATCAGAGCAGTTGCCAGCCTGAATAGTCTGAATATGACCAATATCAGATGAGTAAGAAATCCCACAGAAGGAAATAGTGAAAAACACAGCTCATTTGGAAGGCGTTTCTTAATTATTCTCAAGCTACTGGACTGCTCTCCACCCTGGAGTTTGCAGCTTTCATCACTCAGAAAACTTGTTGCATATGAATACAACTGTACATTTTTCCAAATACTTCCATTACTCAGGTTTATTTCCTTATACTCGGATTTGTTGAAACCTGTTGCTGAGGTTGACACTATGTTGAACAAGTAAATTATCACCAATTACCTTTTTTTCCTACTATTATTAGAATTTCTGCCTTGCATTGCATTATAGAATTTGTTGGTTTATCTTGTGGGTGAAAGAAAACAGTCACAATAAGACCTCCCAAAATTCGGATTTTTTTGCTTTGTGCTGCATAACAACTGGAACTTCTTTTCATCCATAAGTCTTCCTGTGAAAATATTAGGATAGTTCTGATAACCGGAATGCTTAAAATGCTAGAGAAAGAGCGTATATTTGCATTCAAATTAAAGCACCACAAACATGATAAAATGCTTTTGTCTCTAACTCTCTTCCTATTTCATCCCTTAAAATAATTCCAAAATCTTGAGAAGCAGCAAGCAGAGAAAGAAAAAACAGATCAGGAGTTTCAAAGTATTTCTTTTTAAACAGCATAAAATACAGATAAAATTGTTTCTAGAGTACTCATAAATAAACCAGAAAACCTGAATTTTCTGTCTTCACTGGGTCTTCATAGATTTATCTGTTACAGTAAACAACTTCTTGGTACAAGAGTCAAACATTAAAGTCCTGGCTAAAACTACCAGCACTGCAGAAATGCTGTTTAACATAGCATTTTTGATGAATTTCAACATACTATTATTAGCAGCATTTTAATTACAATTGTTGTATACACACATACCAGGGAAATTAGATACTTTGCAGAGTTACAGTATTAAGGTTCCTAAAGTTAAATCATGCCAATGCAGATGTTCCTTATTACTTTAAAAGCACAAATACTTATACAAATCAGTTGTTTCAAGTTCCAGTATAATTCAATTTAAGGAGTGTTTAACAACATGAATGATACTTAAGCACGCTTAATATGTTAGGAAACAATAGATGTCATTCACTTGAAGGAAGGAGTTAAAGTCCATCTGAGATAAGAAGCTGTGATTTGTCTAAGCCAAATATAAGAGATTGTCATAAGAAGGTGACACTATGAAAGACACATCAAAAACTGACAAAAGCGTTTATTTCCTTGTAGCAATCACTTTACTAAAGAAGATGACTGGAACTTAAAGTTTCTGCAGGTCATTGTGCAGGGTTTGGGAAGCTTCTTCTTTTTCCTGCCTTTGTTTTCTTCCTTTTTTTTTCTTTTTTTTTTTTTTTTTTTAGCTGTAAAATGGAGTCTAGCTCCACCCCTACTTTGTATTGCTGCTTGAAAAGAGGTGTGGTAGGTAATGCACTACTGCATTAAATCAGCACACAAGCTATGGATGCCACAAATCCTCTCCCTGGATAATGTCTCTGGCAGGAACACTCTTTAGGCACAGAAATTTGAGAACTCTTCCTGCTGTGTTTTGGAATTTTACAAATAATAGTATCATGCACATGTTTATTCCAGAACAGCATATTTTATAGTGTAATTATCATTGAGTTATATTTTGTTTTCCATGTGAAATAGAGAAAAAGGTGGTCATTGAATTGATAAAACATTGTATATAACCATATCCTGTATGAATAGAGTTACTGCTCTCTCACCTTCCATATTAAATGTTTGAAAATTTGTCAAAGGATAAATAGTAAAGTTCTACACAAATTAGCTACAATATCACAATGCATTTCTATCCACATTTGCACATCCACCCTATAAATGAGTTAAGACTATATCTTTTTCCTCATATTTTTGTTTAGATTCAATCAACATCAGATACGACCAGACAAACTTAAAATATTAATTTGAAATGAGTTAACTGTACCTTGAGTCACCTGTTGGATAGCTAGCATCATCCCAGAAACAGTATCAGGAGCCAAATTTTCCTTCCAGTTGTAGACAGGCACCCATTTCAAGATAGGCAGCCTTCTCATACACCAGGCTTTGATATCTTCAAAGCGAACAGCCTGGATCTTCCTCCAGACTGTACTTCTTTTCCTTTTTGCCCCTGTCATCATTCCTACCCCACAAAAGCAGTGCCTCTGTCAGGAGAGTGCACAGTTGAGGAGTCACCCTGATCTCTGTCAGTGTCCAGTTTTCTTCTGAGATTTTTCAGTTCCAAGCTACAAAGAAAAAAAAATGAACAGAAGCACTTAGATTTCCGCAGCTGTTCTGTAACTAAACAAAAACACTTATTAAGTGCTTCAATCATATAAACAGCTACATTAAATGCAAGAACTGTCTACGGCAAAGATCACATTTTCTGCTGTTTGCAAAAATTTGGTCTAGTCTCACGTTAGTTTGTGATTCTTTCCAGTAACTTCCCGCTTTATATCCCTGTAATGCTTGTGCTTTTGGCCTCATTCCAGTGGCAAAATGAGGTATTACTGGGTGTGTGTGTGATATAGGCTGGGCTATGCTAATCTGAGCAAGAAGTGCCCAGCAGAGCAGGCATCTCCCTGCCAAGCCCGGGAGAGCAGCCTGTCTCTCCTGGGGGAGCTTTTCTGGCCGCAGGCGGAAGGCATTAAGACCTCAGTAAAGCTCGTGCTAGAAGACTTGTCTTACTCCATCAGCGTTTTGTCTTCTAAATGACACAAAAAGCTTATTTATGTAGCAAATGCAGAACATCAGGTAGCAATAAGTCCTACCAGAAACATACACAGAATCTCTCTGTAGGCTGAAACCTCAAACTCCAGAGTAACAAGCTCCAAGTGCAGCGAGGGACTGCAAGGTATCGGCTTCACATGGGCAGTGCCAAAAATTCTTGTGACAATCGTTCTTGTTCAAAGCTAGTCCTTTCTGCTCTTGGCTGTCCATTCAACAAAGGCTCTCCCAGCACAGACAGTTCACCCAGTAACATTTGTTCTTGTAATAATATCATGCACCTTGTGTACGATACAAAGTGCTCAGACACAATGTGATAAGGACACAGAAGGGCTTTAAATGTTCAGGCATTTAAATGCCTTGACTGATATGGAGCAAGGACACAGTAAGCTTTCCTCTAAGTTTTCTGTATCAGTTCATTCTACGGAGTGACATTCAGTTGATGTCCAGAACTGTGCCCCATAGGATTGCAAAGATAAAAAAAAAAAAGGAAGAGAGAATTTCTTAACATAAGACAGACCCTTACTTATAACTATTCCTGGCATACTTATTCTCTGCCCTGCCCAGCCATTAACAACATACACTTTTTAAACACAGGTAATCTTACTTCTGTTCATTAGAATAAACCTCTGAGCATCAATTCTTTCTTGTTTTCTTTGGTTTTTTTTTTAACTTGAAAGTGCAGTTCAAGTACTCCATACCTGAGGCATTTATGTCTGTCAAGTTTTCACAACACAAAACTTTTCTTTCTTTCAATAGCCAGAAGTGGACAGGAATCCTCACAGCTACAGTGAGAGCTACTCAGCAGTCAGGTGCTGCTTAGTTTTGATGAAATGTTCAGTACCTCTAACTATAACAGAATTTACCATTAAATAAAAATCAAAATACATTTCTACACATAAATATGCATGCGCAAAAACATCCCCAGATATAGGTACTTGTGTAAAAGAGCCTAGACTTTTTTTTTTTTTAATCATAATTTGCTAGAAGCTCTGAATATTCTGAAAGAAGCAAAAAAGCTTGCAGTGGGAAACCAAAGAACCATTGCTAAACACACAAGAACATACTCTCCATTCCTCAAAGTTCTTGCACCAAAATGCTGACATGTTTGAAAAAGTCTGTAATTGAGATTTTCCCACCTCCTAATTGCAGAGTCAGTGAAATGGACAAGTTTCCCTCAATTCCAGATTAGTATCTGAACACCTAGGATTTCCATCATCAGCAGAGTTTTGTCCCCCACCAACAACAACGGATGGTATCTCTCTGTAAGTGTGTGCATGCATGAGTGCAAACATCCTACACCTGTTGTGGAAACTTTGTTTTACCCCAACAATTGTTTTTTATAAGTAAAAAAACTGCATTATCCATAAATCTGAAGTAGATAATGCCATCACTATTGAAATACATTCTTCATTGTTACTCTGAAATTAATAAATACTCCTAGTTACCTATGAAACAAAGCAACATTTCAGTTATAAACCTGCAGAGAAATCAACATTTTTCAGGGAAAACTGATGTACATATAACAAGCTAACAAAACTGATGGATATGTATAACAAGCTAACCTCACTACAAAATATACTATACTCACAAGTATAGCCTCACTACAAAATATTACAACCTTTGAATCTTAAAGAAACATAAAATCCCCTCCGCTTTCCTAGAGCACTCCAGTATCCTAGTGGAAACACGTTGTATCACATACACAATGTTTAAACTTTTTCCCATCAGCTGTTGTATATCTTTAGTCTATACACTGCCAGATTATGCAGGCTTTTCATAGGTTGAATTGTATCATGATATACCTGAACTATCAGGACTGTGAGACCCTCTCTTGCTCTGAAACAAGTGAATAAAACTTCTTTTTCTGGAACACTAAAAGATAAGCATGAGAAACCTTCAGTTTTATACATTTAAGTCAATGTATTCACACACGCTTTTGTAATATTAGATGCTTCACAATTAGCTTTTTTGATAATCTCATATAAGTAAAAGCTATCTTCACGTGATTACATAGTTGTTTGTTCTGGAAATGCATAAAAATATAATTCTAGCAGAATTTTTATGTACAAAGCTAAAAAGATAATTACCATAAGTCAAAAATTAGACTACAAGTAGTATATAGAAGGAAATATTTATTGCATCATAGATCAGCTGTGGTGGGCTTTTAAAACCTGGTTTGCAACAGGTTCCAAAAATAGATGGGGTAACCTCTGTGGAGGCTGGCTGTATTTCCATCAGCTCCTCTAACATTTACATACATGGGAAGTTTACATACACAGTGGATATGTGAAGAAAGGGGTTTTGATTCTCTAGTTCTGGCCTCAAGTGATTTAAAAAAAAAAAAAAAAAAAAAAAAATGTGGAGGCTGGCTGTATTTCCATCAGCTCCTCTAACATTTACATACATGGGAAGTTTACATACACAGTGGATATGAAAGAAAGGGGGTTTGATTCTCTACTTCTGGCCTCAAGGGATTAAAAAAAAAAAAAAAAAAAAAAGTGACACCTTACTCCAACTTAGACCTCAAAAGGACAAATTAGTGGCAAACTCTGACAGAGAAGCCCAAAACCCCACCTCATATGGAAGCAGATTTTGTAGGAAATCTTTGGATTCTTGCATGAGAACTGCTTTTAGACTTCACATAAACTGGCAGGCAAGTTCAAAAACTATACTTATGTGTACATACACTCCTAGAACTTAAATGAAGTTATCCACACCTCAGACAGGCATAGATGGAAAAAATGGGTCGTGTGGAGACTCCCTCACTGGAGATACTCAAGAGCCATCTGGACACAATCCTGTGCCATGTGCCCTGGACGGCCCTGCTGGGGCAGGGGGTTGGAACAGATGACCCTCTGTGCTCCCTTCCAACCTCAACCACTGTGATTCTGCAGCGTGACTTGCTCTTTGTAAGTTTTCTCAGGAAGGAACTAAATATCTGCAAACATCCAGCATTAAACCAGTGTGAACTAGCTAAACCTGTGCTCCTGCTGCTGTGCATGATTTTTTCCCCTCAAGAACATCCAGAGCACCCAACTTACCTGCTGAAGTTCTCCCTTTCACCATCACTGGGTAAAGGGAAGTGTGTGCTATCATTAATCCAAAACTACACGCATCTTACTGGCTGGCCACTGGCAAAAACATATTAGATCTTACGATTTAGATCTTAATATATAATGAATACATAGTGATTGGGCTTTCCTCACCTTTTTGTTCTGTGCAGAAACTAATTGCTCTTCATCCTTGTCCTCTATCTTGACAAAACATTTTTATGAACTCAGTTTTGCTACTGCTCTGTTTCTGTCAAATAAGTATGGCTAAAGAATTAAGATGATACTAAATGAAAGACTTAGGAAAATAAGACAGGCAAAAATCTTGGTCACAGAACACTTTGGCAAATATGGCTAAAATTCCTAGACAAATTTTTCCTATGAAAAATTTAAAGTATTTTGACAAAGCACAACTGGATAGGAATGAAAGTCAAATTTTAAAAAGAGGGTGATAGAACTAATTTAGAGAGACCAAATTGTGCAGTTCATATATTGCAGAACATAGCACATGGGAATATAATACGAGCTACTAGAATTAAAACAGAGGGCTGACAAATGCAACAACACAAAAACAGTGACAGAAATCCACACTGTTCAAAACAGCATTCCTGAATTTTAAGAATTTGTAAAAAAGTAGGTTATCAACCACATGTATTACACAAACCTGGGTTAAACCACAACACTAGGCAGAGAAGAAGCATATGTGTAAGCATGCAAATCATTTATTACTGATATTTAAATAACTTCCCCCTCTGAAATTCTGCTGTATCAAAGCCAGACAAAATCCACAAACTCCAAAGCTTGCCAATTTATCTCCCACACTTGGATGCAGTGCATTTTCAGTAATAATTAACTTCAAAAGCACTGATTTCAGTCACTAATTACTTGAATGTGGACCTAAACTGACAAAGATATTATTCTCACCCTTCACAAAACACATAAATCTATAATCTCCATCCCCTCATCCTACAGATGATTTACGAGACTATGGGGACAGTAACACCGAGGCAATTCAGAAGCCAGACATGGCTCAAAAAGCTTGAGCTCTACTTAAACATCTTCTCTGTAAAATGGACTTTTCAGCTCTTTTAAGGATGCTGTGCTAGGCAAAACTCGGTGAAGCAACACTGACATCGAGTGGCTTCGCCTGGGATTTCCCTTTGGCTATTGCAGGATGCAGGAGCGCTGTTCCCATCTGACGCTGTGCCGTGACATGATGGGTTTTGAACTGGACAATACTAACTATATCATTTATTAACAGAGTTAATTAAAAATCAGCTATCTGTAGCATCAAAAAAAGGTTTACTCTCTAAATTTTCAATGTGTTCACTGGTCAGAAATTTAAGGCAGGAGGTCAC